AACACAATCCCACATCATCACTCATCACCACAATTACTTCTAAAATCGTCATTTCTCTCAAATCAATGACTTACACATCTATTATCTTTGAATCTCTCTCAGTAACAGTTACGTGTCAAACTAAGTATGCGCGTACTACACTTTTGGACATTGTCATACGCATTTTTTCCTACTTATCAGATGGCGTCAATCTCATATACATGAGCAAAGGGAAATAATATACAGTAGATCAAGGAGATATTGCTAATGTTGAGCTCAGTGCGCTCGTTCTTGGGGCATCCGCCTTGACACAGATGATTGTGTGGTCGTGCGCTGATGACAATAGCGTCTATTGATCCGCAGATTACCCCCACGCACAAACACGTAACTGTCACGCATACACACACTCACACGCACTGACACACATGCGCTCACACTCAAAAGTGGGCACATACACACGGGCACACATACACGCGACAGATACACACATACACACAGGCGCACACACACACACACACACACACACACACACACACACACACACACACACACACACACACACACACACACACACACACACACACACACACACACAGAGAGAGAGAGAGAGAGAGATACACACACACACACACACACACACACACACACACACACACACACACACACACACACAACAACAACACAAACAGAACTAAACACTCCTTCGTCTGTTGTCTTCCGTAATCTTCCAAAATGGAAATATTTCAGAGGACAGACCTTCCAGACTGCGCTCTAAAACAACAGTCAGATGCACAACAGGTTGCGGAAATGAAATTATCTCGGGCGAAGAAAAAGATTATCAGAGAAAACAAGTCTGGGAAGAAAGAAGACGGAAATACGAGGAATCTACAAGGTTGTTTTAACGCATCGTCCCTTTCTTCTCCTAACTGTCACTTAGAGGGAAAACGGAGACGTTACAGAAACAACTCCCCGCCAAAGAGGCAAATGATATTGATTTACGTGGCTTTAAATCGATTCCAAGGCTAAGGAATTAGAGCAACATCTACTCGTTGCTCTTCCCCCATCCTCTCATCTCCCCTCCTCCTCCTCATCCCCTTCTGTCTCCTTCCTCCTTCTCTCCTCCTCCAGGTTTATCTCATCCTCTCATCTTCCCTCCTCCTCCACCCCTCCTTTCTCCTCCTTCTCTCCTCCTCCCATCCTCTCTCATCCTTCTCTCCTCCTCCAAGTGTATCTCATCCTCTCATCTCACCTCCTCCTCCCTTCCTCCCTCCTCCTCCCCTCCTCTCTCCTCCTCTCCTCCTCCAAGTGTATCTCATCCTCTCATCTCCCCTCCTCATCCCCCTCCTCCTCTCCTCCCCCTCTCCTCTTCTTCTCTCCTCCTCCTTCTTCTCTCCACCTCCAAGTGTATCTCTGTGTCTTGTGATGGCCCATGGATGTCGTCCTACGACGAGGAACTGGTAATAGGATAGGCCCATGACTCACTGGAGTTTTTTCTTTCGCAAGGTTGCTGAAACCAAATACGTTAAATTAGAATATAAGGGAGGCTGTGGTGAGTGAGCTAGGGGTTACTTAGTGTATGAGTCTATGAGTGGTTACGTGAGTGTCAAGTGGTAACGCAACATTCTTAATACGAGATAATAAGTGCAAGTCTACTTGACTCTCGGTTCAGCTGTTTAGTGCAGTGTGCTTGTTTTTGAAACTGATCCAAGTCTTTGTGCCACAAGCGTATGATTTCTTTTCATTCATTGATGGAGTAATTGCACACATTTCATTTGCCAACAAGAAAATTCACGAGTGCGCGATTTTGATCTAGTGATATGGCCGTTCTTTTTGCCAGAAAATAAAAACGAGATACATTTCAAGAGATGATTTAATCTTTATTCATCAGATATGATCATGAGAATATTATATGTATGTTTTATGATTACATTCCTTAAGAGAAACTGTTTGCACATTCCACGTTATATTTGTAACAGTTATTGACGCTTGCTGTTTAAAACCGTTGCTGTAAACACATTCATTTTTCTGGAATGAGAGAAGTAGATGAGCTCAACAGGCACACCAAGGTAAGGATTTCGTCTATTGAATTTCCCACCTGTTTATGTACAGAAAAAAGATAGCAGATGACCCGCAGAGAGAGAGAGAGAGAGAGAGA